TCTAATTACTGATGGACGAATTTGTTGGTTACTAGTAGCATTTTGATTAGGCTGAAATTGTTGATTCGGTTGAAATTGTTGTCTTTGGAAATTTGGTTGACTTGAAAAGCTTTGGAAATTTCTCTGAGGGTTACTTTGGAAATTATTTTGAGAAGCAAAATGTTTTTGTCGACATTCGCTTACAATATGGCCAGTGCGGCCGCAATAAGAGCATTTTTTTTTCTTGTTGAATTGAAATCGGTTTGCGCGGAACATTATTTGGATTATTAGCGCGATTAAATTTTTGATTTTCGTAATAGTTTAATTGTAGTTCACGTTTTACTCGCATAATTGCAAATAAAATATCTGGAGGGTTACTAGCTCGTACAATTTGTCCGAGTTTCGGGTCTAGTCCAGTCAAAAGTGTATTAAGTGTCATAGTTTCGATTAACCTAGCTTGAGCGTCTTTTTGGTCAGGGGTTAACATTTGTTTGTAAATTGAAGCGTGCATTTTTGCGTTATGGCTTTGTAAACGTGAAATGAACATTAATGGAGATTCGCCAGGTAGTTGGCGAATTCTCTGCAGGTCGTGAATTAAGGCTGTTAAGTCTCTAGCGTCGCCGAAATGGGTTTCTAATAAATGTCGTATTTCTAGCCAAGTTTGCGGATTTCTAGAATTTATTAATTCAGAAGCTTTGCCGCGTAATTTATTTTTAATATGTAGAACGAGAAGTGCTCGCTGTTCGTCAACAGACATCCTATAGGCAGTACTACAGGATTGCACAAAATTTGCAAGAAAGATTGGATTACCATCATATTCTGGTACGATGGAAAATATTTCACTGAGTTTATAGGGTTCTATTACGTGGGGTACATGTTGAGCGGCACCGCCACCTTGAATATTAACATTATTTTGATTCGCGTTGTTTGCGTCATCTACGTTAGGGTTATCGTTATTCATTTTGAAAAATTATTAGTTATAGTAAAACACAAATTGAATAATAGCAATAGTTAAATAATCGAACAAGTTTTGTATCAATTAAATAAATTAAATTAATCGAGACAATTCAATTACTTACATGAATCGTAGCATCGATCTTCTATTCACGTTGTCTGCCAGGGGCTTCACTGGGTGTTCCGTCCGCAGAGCTCGATGAATTGGTTCTTTTTCTGGTTAAGGATGTCTCCACCAATGCTAGTTAGGGTAGCCGTGTTCTAGCACTGTTCGCAGAAATCCTACTGACTGCGCCACTTGTTAGATCGCATGGATCTAATTTAACTTTTTAAAAAAAGGTAATACTTGTTAAGAATATATTGAGAACTATTACATGTTGTGTGTATAAGAAGTGAGTAAAAACTAAGGCATAATACAAAAGTAGTCCTATAAATAAGGTCGCATATGCTGACCTCAGCATCAGCAGAAGTGCAGGTGCATCTACGCTGCATTCTGCGAATGCTGTAACATAATATGTTTTTTAGAGAGGAAGTTGTTATCGCCTGTAATTTAATATATAAGATAAGCGTTATGAGACGCATATAACATGGATATCTAAATGTCCGTCTATATCCCAAGATATAGAAGATATTCGGATATTCAGCAAAATATTTTATGGGTATCTTTAGTAGAGGTTCATAAGTAACCAATGATTATTGAATAACGTCGAAAGAAAATAGCAGAGATAAAAAATATTTTCAACACTGCCTTTAGTGCCTTTGATTTTGCCCACTAAGGAGAAAATCATCCTTATTAGGACTCTTTAGCAATAAATGGAAATTCTCGACTCCAGTCTCTAATGGAGTCTGATTGCGATACCAATTTCGATTGAACTCAATTACGGCGGTTTGAGCATGAGTAGATATTCAACGAGCGAAAGTGGTATCGCCATCTATACTTAGTAAGCAAAATCAAAAATTACATCTAGTGGATATCCACCATATGGTTTGCGTTCGCGCCTAGACTTTGATATATTTAGTGGATGTCCATGGGATATTGAATACACCTTAAAAAAATAATTTTAAATATCTGAACGGTACTATTAGCCACAATGGCGTAATTTTTTAATAATTTGCTATATAATTACTATTATTTATGGACATTTGCATGTCTATAAATTACATCTCATGGATATAAAATAGATATCCACCATGGACTGGACATTCATTGGATATTGGGATGTCCAGTAGATATCCAAAGGATTTTGGTGTGCTGTCTGGGATGTCTTGTGTAGGCATGAGTATTATTTGATTTATTATAGTTAATTTAAAACAATATTACTTAATAGACCTTTTTAATTACCTATAATTTGTTTCAGATTAGTGCATTTAAAGGAATTGGTGAAAATGAAGCGATTCGCCAGCTTTGGGGCTGTGCTAATAAAAGTAACATCGAAGTTATTCAACGTTTCCAGAATAAAGTATTAAGGAACATCGTCGATGCACCCTGGTACTGCCACAATACTGATCTTCATAGGGACCTTAAAGTGGAGACTGTTGAAAATACAATACAAAAATTTGCGAGTAGTCACCAACAACGACTGCTCCAACATGCGGAAACCTTGAGATTATTCAGCTCCTCAACAATGCAATATAATAAGAAGACTCAAGAGAACCAAGCCTTTTGAGTTAGTTTAGAGATGTTAAAGCAGAGTATAGTGCTGAGTATAGTGTTATACGTTAACGGTAGTGTAACTAAATAATTATATAAGGTATACTAGTGAGAGTGAGTAGAAAATTAACTTATGAAGTTTTTCATTCCTTGATAAGTTAGATTAGAATAAAATTGCTAATTGATCTTAATGATCAGATTGTAATAATCGTAAATGTTTCTTTACTTGGGGCATTTATTAAAAAAAACTATTTGTCTCAGATTAGTACTTTTAAAGGAATTTGTGGAAATGAAGTGATTCGCCTTTATATTTTATGAAATAATATTTAAAAATTATTTGTTTGTTTGTTTGTTTGTTTGTTTGTTTGTTTGTTTGTTTGTTTGTTTGTTTGTTTGTTTGTTTGTTTGTTTGTTTGTTTGTTTGTTTGTTTGTTTGTTTGTTTGTTTGTTTGTTTGTTTGTTTGTTTGTTTGTTTGTTTGTTTGTTTGTTTGTTTGTTTGTTTGTTTGTTTGTTTGTTTGTTTGTTTGTTTGTTTGTTTGTTTGTTTGTTTGTTTGTTTGTTTGTTTGTTTGTTTGTTTGTTTGTTTGTTTGTTTGTTTGTTTGTTTGTTTGTTTGTTTGTTTGTTTGTTTGTTTGTTTGTTTGTTTGTTTGTTTGTTTGTTTGTTTGTTTGTTTGTTTGTTTGTTTGTTTGTTTGTTTGTTTGTTTGTTTGTTTGTTTGTTTGTTTGTTTGTTTGTTTGTTTGTTTGTTTGTTTGTTTGTTTGTTTGTTTGTTTGTTTGTTTGTTTGTTTGTTTGTTTGTTTGTTTGTTTGTTTGTTTGTTTGTTTGTTTGTTTGTTTGTTTGTTTGTTTGTTTGTTTGTTTGTTTGTTTGTTTGTTTGTTTGTTTGTTTGTTTGTTTGTTTGTTTGTTTGTTTGTTTGTTTGTTTGTTTGTTTGTTTGTTTGTTTGTTTGTTTGTTTGTTTGTTTGTTTGTTTGTTTGTTTGTTTGTTTGTTTGTTTGTTTGTTTGTTTGTTTGTTTGTTTGTTTGTTTGTTTGTTTGTTTGTTTGTTTGTTTGTTTGTTTGTTTGTTTGTTTGTTTGTTTGTTTGTTTGTTTGTTTGTTTGTTTGTTTGTTTGTTTGTTTGTTTGTTTGTTTGTTTGTTTGTTTGTTTGTTTGTTTGTTTGTTTGTTTGTTTGTTTGTTTGTTTGTTTGTTTAAGAATCAACGTTTGATTTTGTATATTTTAAATAAACATGTATATTTAAAAAATGTCTTTTTTTTAGTCTAATATTTTAGAAAAAAAAAAGCTAGAATACGTTCCTGTAATATTACTATTTAATATTTCTAAAAGTTTTCAAATTGTTATTTCAGAAATATTACTGTGAAATATTATATTTACAGGACATTTTTACGTTTCAGGCACATTTCAGAAACTTTTCTGGGTAGTTTCGTAACATTTATACAACATTACAAATGTTCCAATGTAATATTTTTGAAATATTTTCGAAATGTGTTTGTACTGTATGGGAGGGCCCTATTTCAGAAAAGTACTTTGCAACTTTTCACTTTGCACCTTGCATATTTTAGTAAAAAAAGTAAAATTTGAAAAGCAGTTTGCTAAGTGAAAATTAAAAATTAATAAACTGCAAAGATCACGATATTATTTTATAAAACACAAAGATTTTGCCCTCATAAATTTGCAAAGTGAAAAGTTGCAAAGTAGTTGTATAACATAGGGCCCTGAACTCAGCGAACAATTCACACATGTTCCAAAAAATAAAAAAATGAGGTGAGAAAAAAATGGTTATATTTTGACAAAATCCGCACTTTTTTGTAAAGAATTATAGCTTCTAGCACATTCAAAATGGTTCTATTTTTTTTTTAATCGCTTACTTTTTGTGACAAAGTGTTATGGACCCCACTTATGTATTAATAAGTCCCCGAAAATATTACTATATAAGATGAGTTCTTCTAAACTCACTTAATTCTTAATTTATGTGTATATTCAAAGGTTAAAACTATCTCTAACTCCACTCCTGTCCCATTACAACTCGAAGCAAATCGTCCGTAGTTACACCGTGGTCCGTACTTAAAAACTTCGTGCATATGAAAAAACGCTAGCCGGTTTTGACGTAGGACATACGACATATTTCATATTTGACAAATCGTAAGTCGAATGTCGAACGTTATGAAGTTGAAAGCTGAAAGTTGAAAGCTTGAAAATTGAAAGCTTGAAAATTGAAATATTGAGGTATCTAAAGTTAAGAAGCCGATTTTATGAACTTCTAATAATATTGTGATTGTGAATATCATTTTCGAACTTGGAACAATTGAATAGACCACACTGCCGATAAGCGCAATCGATCATATATTTTTTGTAGTGGCAGTGATCAAATGTTCCGTATAAAATCCAAAAATTGGGTGATAAAAATCCCGAATGTCAGATTCTCAGTCTGTGGCTATGGACGTTGACGGTCCGAGCACTGGACCCGGCACGCTTAAACGCTGCTCGAGTGCCCCCATGATTAATGAATCCACCGCTGTGATGACTACAGCCAATGCACCGGTTTCTAAAAGGTTTGTCTAGTAGATTGTAGAATAATTGCCCTAAATATCTAACAATATAAAATTCTGTCGATATAGTGACGTTTTTAAGTGTATATATCATTTGAAAAGATCATTCTTTAAAATTGGTAAAAACAGGTATATCAAATAGTTATCCTATATGTATTTTCTTTTAGGGAACATCAACCCTTTACTTTTGGGTCCTCTTCACAAACCAGAACTAGACGGTTCAGTGCTAGCTTTAGCCCTGTTCCAGGATCACCGGTATGTGACTGCATGTAATTTGAATTTTATTTTGGTGCATTCTCGTCAATTTAAACTTGTTTTTTAAAATAATGAAATTGCAATGTTTTTTTTATTAACTTTTGAATTTTCAGTGACTGTAAAGCATTTGGGTAAATACTTTTTGGTAATCTTGTAGTTGAAGGGTCTGGAAATGCGACTGTCCGCACCATTCCTGTTCCAGCTAGTTCTGACAGTTGGAATCATTACATATATGCTGCATTTGAAAACCACCTCGTTTTGCTCTTTTTACTTGAAGCCATTCTTTTAATACATCTGCGGTTTCTCGATGGGATCTGCTCCGTGGTCTTTTAATGCAGAGCTGGTAAATCGAGTAAGATCTATTTACTCCTAATTAAATTTTAGAGCTTTCGGAGTAAATGTAATTTCTGTGATAATTGACAAAGTAGATGTACTTTTCTGAGATGTTACACATCGTTGGTTGTCTCTTGTGTTGCAGTTTATTCTTTTTCATATGTGTTTGGTTATTAAAAAAAATATTTATAAAAAATGTCAGACAGAAATGAGAACATGGTTTATTTTCTAGTGAAAGCAAGAAGCAAAAAATACCACAGCTAAAAATTAACTTTACTTTGCAACTTGCAACAAAAACCACTAGATGAGAGATCAAATTTGATTTAAAAGAAAAGTTTACGTTTGTTATTTTAATGAAAACCGGATAAGGGAAACAAACAAATCCACAGCCCTTCTTTTACTCCACATAAGCTCGATTTGTTCGATGATCACGTGACTAAAAAATCTACTAGCTTTACTCCGCTCTGTGAGGTACTTTTCAAACGTAGCAATAGTTGCCAGGTTATATTTAATTTTTTGAAACCAGGAAATAAGCATATTGAAATAACTATTTTACTTTTAATCATCTATTTACCAGTTTTTACATCGTTTAAAAATCCTATAAAAATAAATGTTCTGAAGATTTTCAAATAATACGATCGTTATTTTTAATGTCAATAATACCTTTCAATAGTGATATTACAAAATTCAAATTTGTATCAATTTCAAATTCTAGACGTCAGTGCAGCGTGGTGTGAATATGGGCATTTCTAGACCCACCAACTACTAGATTACCTACTTTCTGATATTACATACTTTTACAGAAAGTTTAAGTATGCTTATTTCTGTCTCTGTTACATATTTTTAACAACATATATTTGGGGCAACATATCCAAACAAGTCGAGAATTATTGGTCAAAATAATATGTCTTGAAATTCGCCTACACTACATTTGGCAGCTGAAGACTTTTCTGATAATAGTTTTACATCTTTTTGGTACCTCTACATACCATCTTCCACAAAAAAACTCGGTTCTCAAGCAAAATCATTAAATTACATTCTTAGATCACATATTACCCTAGATGCCAAACCCAGTAAAAGATCAAAAGATTGCCGGTAAAAAATCAAAGGATTTTGAAATTATTCTGGCTGAACATTACAGCCTTGTAAACTGCCAAGGTTGTGTAAGCTCACAAATGACAATTATTATTAGGTGTGTTAACTTCCCCCAAATCCCATATAAAAACAAAAGACGATATGGCACCAAACAGAACGTAGTACCAAAAAATCCACCAGAGGTCGTTAGAAAGTGAGGTACCTATTTGACCATTACAAGAGCCAGATAAAGCATATTTTAACATCAACATGTATCCAACTTCAAGATCTTGTCATTAGATGATTGGCAACATTTGACAGGTTATTATACTAATGTTCCTAATTATGACAGTTATTCTAGGTGTATATTAAAACAAAAAGTATGTATCTAAAATAAGCAAAGTTCTAAAAAAATCCGTCAAAGGTCCTTAGTAAATGATTTATCTTTTTGACCATTAAAGATACAGATGAAGACCATTGTTGTTTCAGTTTATTAATCTGAGCTTGTGGGTGAAAGCATTTCAAAAGATGGGACCACAATTTGGCGTGGGGTCTCTAGAGGAACAGTTTATAGAATATAATCTAGAGGGTAGGTACTTTGTGGATGGGACTGCTTATCCTACTCTATCTCAAGCGTATATCGGTATATATATATATATATATATATATATATATTTACATCTTTCTATCAATCCCAAGCCAATTGGAGATTCTATCAAACCTGAACCACCTAAAAATAATAAAGTTGGATAAGTATATTTAATGTATATTGGAAACAGGGGGTCTCTTTATCTGTAATATGAAATGTATACTCTGAATATTTCATTAAAAAAATTTAATTTTTCTAAAGATTTTACTGGATCAGTGCAATCCTGAACCATTAGAAGATTGATACAATCTTGAACCATTTTATACAGTTTTGTTCACACTAATCGTACAATTCTGAACCTTCGCTCAGTTGCCAAATGTAAATTAAGTATGAAATCTACGATTTAGTGATACGAGAATAATCATAAAATTTAACTGTTTATATAATTCTAAACTCTGAATTGAAATTTAAAATAATTTAAGTTGGATTATGTAAAGACATTAAAATCACTCTTGTGACTAGGGCAGTTTGGGTCGAGATATTAAGAGCAAACTAGATATATGGATGTATTTTCTCATAAATAGGAAATCCGATAAAAAAAACTTTTTAAATAAAACTTACAATCTACGATTTTTCCTTACCTTTGCAATTAAAAAAATTAACAGGTGAGAGAAAAAATTAATTTTTGACATTTTACAATAAACCAGATTTACAACGCTTTCCTATAAAAATTTTACCCCCCACCATCCCATAGAGGGAGAGTGGGGGTGGCATTCCCAAAATATTAGGTTAAAACTTTTTAAATAAAACAGTTTGAATTCCAAAATTTGGTCAAAATGATAGGGGTAAATTTTTATAAAAAAAAGTTGAAACTTATGTCTTTTACAAATGTACCAAAAATAAAAGTTTTATCTTCTCTGTGATGATTTTTATAAATAATATCAAGGTGTTTGTTGCCGTTCATTCTGATAATCAAAATTTTATTTGGAATCATACCACATATGGCTGACAATTTAAAAGCTTACAAAAACTTATATCTCATGAACTGGATGTAGGAAAAAAATTTAAATCTGGGAACTTGCAAGATGTCTTGGGGCTCATTTAGCTATTCCTATTGACCGGAAATAGATCTTAAGTCGCTTATTTTAAATACGGCATCCTATTATTACAAATTTGAATTTTACTTCAGATTCTGGGCAGGTTTTATGTATCATATCATATGCCTAAGTCAGAGCGATTTTACATATTTTAGTTTTTATATCAAAAATGACGTTGATAAGCCCTCATATAATTATCAGTTAGTCCTATAAAGAAGTCCTTATATCTACTTCGGGTTGGATTCCTTGGGTTTAAGGTTTAAAATGAGATTAAGAAAACTGCCAAAAATCGATTTTTCAAATGGAACAACCCATTTTTCTTATTTTGTAGTATTTAGCATCTAAAATAAAGGTAAACTTGTATAAAGTCGTCTACAGGGAGGTCCGTTAATAATGAGATTCAGAGCTACTTTATAAAAGTATTGCGATATAACACAATTTACCTTAGTTCAATTTTTGATATTAAAGAATATACATAGTGTTAAAATAGATACATTTATATCAGTATTTTTGATTGAAATATTTGACACTTTATTTTATTAAGTATCTACTTTAACACCTTATAATATCTTCAATATCCAGAATTGAACAAAGGTAAATTTTTATATCGCAAGATTTTTATGCAAGGAATTTATAGATGTTCTGTGTCCCATTGTTAACGGACCATCTTGTAGACAACCTTATTTTCCATACTTTATTTTCGATACTAAATACTATAAAATGAGAAAAATGTGAATTTCCATAAAAAAAATTTTTTTGTAGTTTTCTCAATCTTATTTTAAACCTTATTTTTGAACAGCCTGCACGATTAGTTGTCTAAATATAAAAAAATCTATTAATGAGATTTTTTTAACAGGGAATCCAACCCAAATTAACCAATAAGATCTCTGGTCCTCTCATTTCTTCTTAATCTACTTTGGACCACTTTAAGATATGGACAATATTTGGAAATAAAACAATATTATTTTTGAAATAGGTAAGATACGCAGCTTTTAGTTCTTACATGTCAAGTCAGCGGCGGTAAGTCCCCAAACACAAATACGTCGAAATTAACAGTCGGGTATTTACAAAAGTTCAAGCATATGGGAAACTTTTTTATTATTAACTTTATGAAAAAAGTTTTTCTTCACAAAAAGTTCTGCAACTATCAGATATATTTTTACAATAGTATACGAGATATATCAAATAATATGAATTTAGCTGTAAAATAAAGTACCTTTATTTTTGATAAATCACGTATACGACTAATAAAATTTGATATTTGATGGTTGCATTTTACGTTTTAGACCATGCTCGACTTTTTATGAAAAATAACTTTTTTCATAAAATTAGTAATAAAAAAGGTTTCTGCATATAGTAAGACGAGGATGGTCACAAACCTAAAATACTACCATCAGATATCAAATTTTATCAGTCGTATACGAGGTTTGTCAAAAATAAAGATATTTTACTCTTCAGCAAAATTACCTATTTGACATATCTCGTATACTACTGTAAAAATTTAATATATCATAGTTGCATTTTAGGTTTCAGACCATTTCGACCTTTTTATGAAAAATAACTAAATGAAAATATTTTTTCCTTCGAACACTTAGGAAAGTGACACATATCATACTATATAATCCTATGGAAAGTGCCCTATATCACACGCGTATGAATAAGAATTTACTTTCCACCCGTGTACGAATATGCTACTTTCCGCAGCAGCTGCCACAAAATGTCAAACACATCATTTCTATGTTGATCTATGTAATGTCCATATTAATACTAAAATCGATATTATGATTAAATTATTAAAATTGACGATTAACTTAGATCCTAGATATTTATTTTTAACAATTATTAAAATAATTTTAAAATAACTACATACATCTCATTATTTTGGCTTTTTATTCTGTTTAAACTTA